TGCAAATTTAATTAATGACAATAATACGACTCATCAAAACAGATAAACGTGACGAACAATGCGGTGATGGAGTCGGGTGGACGTTTCGTTGTATAAAACTGCATGTGCAATGTTCCTTGGTGAACACCACCTGCGAATCGAAAAACATAATATATTATTTTATCCGACGGCACGTCWTATAAATTATAATATAAACGCACTGTATATAGTGCCATTATACAGCGCAGACTTCAAATGGGACGGTGGTCTGCGGACGCGTCTCGTCGCAACGTATATGAAGTCGGTCATCAGTTGACATATCGGTGACATCGTAACGATGATCYAGGCGAATACAAAACAAATTTGATGACAAAAGGCTCCCCAACAGACGCCATGTTCAGCCCGTCGAAATATTCSAAAAACGAACGACTGTTCGATACGAAGGGGATGGAACGATCGCGAAGTAATTCCGACAAAGAACTCGGAGTTGAAAAWCACATTTAGGGTTCAAGTTGGCTGGCTTATAGACCAGCTGCAGTACTACCAACACATCACACAAAATTCCACGTGGTCGGGTAATGCGATTCGCGACGCCACGTGGAGAGGACCTAAACAGACCGATCGCGACGGATAGCGTTCGTAGACTCCAAAATATATACCTTAGGTCCAGCCTGTCGAGGGCATTCGGACAAGACGGAGATGACGATGTGGGGAACACGAGCAAGTGCACTAACGGTGCTCGATCGTACGTCAGTCGCGCATGTTTTCCGGTCACCAAAATCGCAAAAGGATCGACGCTATCGCTATCGCCGTCACGCGTGCGAGATTTTTTTAAGGCAAGAACTATTGCGCTGTAATTAGTACAATCTCTGGTTGGATTAAATATGATATTATTGATTTTTATCAAYACACTCCACTGTCCAGGCTAACATTAGAATGTTTAGGTCTTTTTTCCCCGAAAAAAACAATGATCGCTCGGCGTTCTGAATAGGCAATTTGGGTACATGATGGCCGTCGGGAGAATACCTTTCTGTTATCATTTTGTTAGATGATTAGAAAAATGTGTGATATCCTTAGTGTACATAGACATAGAATAGGKGGGGAGGCTAAGGGGGCTATAGCACCTCTGGAATTTCGTTTAGCCTCCAACATAAATATTTTTAATTACTATTTTTAGAATACACATTAAAATAGATACCCGAAACATTGTAGGCTAAAGTGTTAATACCGCCCTCCCACGCCACCATAAAAATTCATTACGCTACACCAATGCTAGTGTAATATTTATAGTATATTAGTGTTTAATCATAGTGGTGGCTAAATAATAATATTATTGTTTTTTTCTCGATGTACAATTAATAGTTTTCCAAAAGGTGATATCCACACAATACACAAATAATTTATTGTAAAACCAAAACTTAAATTTAATAATTTAATAAAGAAAGTTGATCTGAAATTTAATTAGAACAGATAAGTGGTTTTTATCTAGATAACATTTCTAGATATTATGTTGTAAATTATAACGCAGTTATTAATCATACGCTGTGAAAATATTACTGTAAATTAATTGTATAATAGACAATAGTAAATATGTTGTAAAAATGTATACTCCCATCGATCATCAATATATTGGCAAGCTAACTTAAGAGGACGTGATACCCGCATGTGTTGTCTCTGTCTTACAAGTGCATTATATAGTAAATTTTACGTTCAGCAGAACACGTGTAGCTCCGTTTGCTTAAAAATTAGAGTGAATTGACCTCTTATAAAATTTAAAGGTATGATTGTTATCTAGTCAACCTCATATGCTTTTTATTATATTTAAATTTTAAAGGAAGTTATGAGTATTTTAAGATGCACAAAAAATTTACAATTTTAAAATACTCATAACTCGCTTTAAATTTGATATAAAATAAAAAGCATATGAGGTTGTCTAGATAATAATCTTACCTTTAAATTTTATAAGAGGTCAGTTCACTCTAATTTTTAAGTTCACGGAGCTACACGTGTTCTGCTGAGCGAAAAATGTACCATGTTACGCATTTGTAAGACGGAGACAATACATGCGGGTATCACGTCCTCAAGACATATAATAAAATGTAAACAATATAAATTATTTGATAAAACAATTATTTGAACAGAAAACGTATTATGCACATAATTTACACAAATATGATTATATTGCCCTTTTTCACACAAGTCATGAAATCAAATCTAAAAATAAACAAAACTACTGTTGCACAAGTTATTTTATAAAAAACTTGATTTTAGAAATATTGAGTTGAAAAATAATTATTCGATAATATTTAAAATTCAATGTTGTGGAAAATTATTTTCAAAACGGTGTATAAGCATTACGTCTAAACTATACTTATTATATGAACACKTATTGCATGTGATTTGTAAAGCACATCGTTACCGGAAAAATAACCACTGCTAAGGTAAAATTATTATGGAAATGAATTCTCAGTACTCGGCCAATCACATAATCACAGAATGCCCCTAATACACAGACAAAATCAGCAGCCTCGACTGTGATCTGACGCAGACACCATACGTCTATACCACACTAATTTTAAAGTTTTATTAAAAAAAAAAAATACCAAATTGCACGACCAAATGTAATAAAAAAAAATTATAACTATTAGCCATTGCGCCGATGTTTATAAATAACGATAAAATAGATAAATAAAATTAACACTTCGGCACTAGTCAAACGGTCAATCGTATTATTAATCTTTCACTTGTGACATGAGTTCATCGGTCCATTTCAAATTTAATTTGTATATTATTATAAATCGTCTAAATCCTGCATTATTTTTTGATCAAATCGCATTCTTTTCCCGTATCTCGTTGTGCCAGTCCCTGCAAAGATGATGTATATCGAGTGTTCGTGTGCCAAGTTAAAAATGGATCGGTGTACGGTCTTCAATAATACTAATGTCGTTTTATAATAAAATGAATAATAATCTATTGTACAATAATACACAATATGTTTAGTAAATTTACATTTTACAAACATACGTAAATTTTTTTTGGTTTACTGGTAAAAAACTGTGAATCCCTGTATTACAACACCTCTTAGACCTGCTGCACTCAGGTTAATCGCTTCATTAATTTATATTATCTTCAGTAATATTTCCTTACAAAACAGTAGATAGGTACTGAAATTAACAATTTCTTTTAGAATTAGATGATGTAATTAAAAATAAGCAGTATTTTACAATGTCATTTACGATTAATAAACGTGCTTTATCATCGAAATAAAATAGCATGTATATATTTAAACTATTTTGTATTTAATTACATTATAGTGAGACAGTTACTTATGCAATATAATACCATTACAGCAGTTTGTTCAACTCGATATTTTTGTGTACAATTAATAACAAAATAAATTTATTCATAAGCAGGTAGGTGAAAGTAATATTATTTGATTTTAAAACAATTTCAGGTTTTTGGAGTTGAAATATAATATATCACAATTTATTAAAAGAATAAAACAATTTTCGATTAAATATCTTGAAAAGGTACAATAACGATCAATAAAATAACAATATGTTAATGGTTACTAAATGTTTTCATTATTCTATAAAGAGGTTAGATGTGTAGAATTTTAACAAGTCCTATCATCGCTAATATATGTATTTTTTTTTTTTAGATACCATTTATTTTTAATTATAAGTGCGTATATATCATTACTCATTATTGTAGACGGTTTGGCAACAGAAATTTAAGACCATACGTCGATAAGCAAACATCATAAAATGTGTTTTTTTGCAAACAACAAGATATGACATAATCGGTAATCCTAAGTATTTTTTTATCAACACAAATTAGCTTTAGGTATATTTAAAAAAAAAAAAAATTTGGTTTGGAATTTTATTGAGGATAATATTATGATATTGATTTATTTCGAAAAAAACATTCTTATATATAAATTCAATTTAACATTAACTTTTAGCAAAATAAATAAAAGTATTATTAATAAATTGAATTAGATTAATAATAATTATATTAGGTTATAACAGAATTGTGGGTATAATATAATATAATATTATTATGTAAACTATCGAAAGTGGACTTTGTTTTTTGGGATCGTTTAACTTACAGATACAATAATAATTTACGTTTGGTAAAATTTAATTAAATTGTATACATTACACATATATAAATATAAATAATACTTAAATAATTTGATAATTATTTTAATACATAATATATAAACACTAGTTTTGCTTTGGAAAAAATATCAAATGACAAATATTATATAATGCTATACACAGTTGTTGTGATGACTAAATAACATGATATTTGGTCTTAATGGTTAAAAAATAATAATAATAATAATAATAATATTATAACAAAACAAATTTACAATGGTAATTATACACTAAAATTAAGAAAAACCTAGGAATCTTTATCACAAGATTATAATAATTGAGTTAAATCTTACAACRTTACAAACTAAAATAAAAGTACAACGTATAAYTTTATACACATTGACAAATATAGAGAAGTAAAAAATAAAATAAAAACCCTTGCTATGTAAATCTTCTAAAAATTTGTATAGTTTGATCATAATGTCTACTTTGGTGCGAGCATAATAACTAATAATAATAATACCAATACAATAATAATATTAATAATAATAATATTTATAATTGATAAATGTACGTATGATAATATTATATTATATTGTAATCTGTAGCAGCAGCAGCAGCAAACAGCGACGACCGTGTCACAGTATTATAATTTTATGGTACATATATGGTCACATATTATAAATATTATCTTAGAGTGAGAGAGAATATATCAACATACGATAATTTCTGACATAATATTTGTCATGCGGACGCGATGAGCATATTATAAAATATCTAAAGACGACCATGGTCGGTGAGGTATATAATTAAAATCATTATATATATATATATATATCGTAATAATATAGCTGCGCATTGACGAATCGAATGGAAAACGCCGAGACGATACACTATATTTCCAGCGGCGGATTTGCGAAATAAATAAATAAATATAAACAAATATAGAAGAAACGAACGACAGAGGATATGACCTATAATAATAATAATAATATATAATATATAATATAATAATAATAATAATATGTATAATATAATATGCGTGTGGAGGTACTCRGAGATTTGTGACGGTATGACATGTACAATATTATAATAATGTTTATTATGCCATGACGACGACAACGATGTCGTGWTGATATGGCATAGCGGAGGAYCACGGGACACGTCAACGGGCCCAATTCAAATAGAGCGGCGGAGCCACGGGTCATAAGTGGGCCGCGTACTGCAGCCCGTCGTCGGGCTGTTGCAGACCGCACGGATCCACCACCAGGTTGTTGTTCTGCATCTCGGCAGCGGCGGCGGCGGCGGCAGCGGCCGCCGATCCGTGGTCGCTCACCTTCTTCATGAAGCTCCGGATCTCGAACAGCCTGGGGTCCTCCTTCTCGTCGACGCTGCTCGCCGAACTGCTGGTGACGGTGCCGACGGCGGTACCGTCGTCCGCCTCGTGCTTCTTGACGTGCCGGTCCAGATTGGTTTGCTGGGAGAACCGCCTGTTGCACAGATTGCACTTGAAGTTGCGCTCCTGTCGGTGTATGTTGCGCACGTGCCGCTGAAGGTTGGAGGATATGCTGAACGAGCGTTCGCAGTGCGCGCACCGGTACGGCTGTTCGCCGGTGTGCGTACGCACGTGCCTGGTCAGGTTGGCGCTGCGCGGGAAAACCTTGCCACAGTACTTGCACGCGTACCTGTCCTTGGACTTGACGTGCTGCTGCTGTTGCTGCTGCTGCCCGTGCTGGTTCTGGTGCTGCCCGTGCTGGTTCGGGTGCTGTCCGTGATGRTTTTGATGCTGCTGGATGATGTCTTGGTACGATTTCGAGTAGTTTGGCATGGGTTGACGGAGAAAGTGTTCGATGGCCGGCGACGAGCTGGTCATGAACGGAAACGGCCTGGTGGCCGACGGCCCGAAAGGCTGATGCGCCTGCATGTGCTGCAGCTGGCTCTCCGCGAACCCGGACAGCGCCGCTGGATACATCGAGTCCAAGTACAACGGTTTGGGGTAGGCCATCAGGTTGTTGACCGAGTACGGTGACGACGACGACGGCCTCTGAGGCGGCGGCGGCGGCGGTGGTGGCAAAGGTGCTGATGGAGGTGGCGTCGAAGACGGTGGCGACCATTTACGTCCACGCTGATCGGGTCGCGCGGCCGCGTGGTCGACGCGCGGGCTGTCATCCCGCGGTGGTTGTCCGACTACGGTTGGTGACTTTTTCCGGCGGCGCTGCACTTTCGTTACGGACAGGTCCAGCGGCTGGTCCGACGACCTGTCCGCCGATCGGCACGGTGATCCATCATCGTCCGACGATCGGCGTTCGCCGGCACTGTCGTCCGTCGTCAGCTCGTCCGCCGAACCGCCACCGTTACACAAAATGTCAGTGTTTACGGACAGATCACATGGGCCGCAGTCCTCGTCCCCGGACGGCTGCCGTTTAACGTGCACTTTGGGGTCAGGGTACGTGGCGCTGGGTCGAGCCGGCGATGGCCGCTGGTTGGATGACGCCTCTTCGCCGACTAGCGGCGACGTCTTGCTCGAGCCCATCAGCATAGCCACGCCGGACGACGTGGGMGGTTGCGGCGGYGGAGTCTTCTGGCCGGAGTTGAAGGATGACGAAGTCGACAACCGCTTGGCGGGCGTTTCGTTGAGCTCCGATTCGCCTGCAGACCTCTTGAACCGGTTGTTACACAGCTCGACGGCGTTTGTCAGCGACAACATGTCCATGTTCAGCTTGGGCCCGAACTGACTGAACGACGTCGGGAACAGTGGCGGTGGCAGRGATCCGTTTGCCAACGGGAAGTAGAACGGGTGGACGAGCGGGTGCGGCGGGTACAGCGGGAACCGCGGGTAGACGGCGAACGGCGAAGATCCGGCGGTGGACGCGGCCCCGGGTTGCTGTTGTAACGACGACATTCCGCCACCGGTCCCCGCGCCGGATGTCGTCAGCGACGATGGCGACGGCGACGGGTTCGACTCACAGAACCGCTTGTGTTTGGACAGCGACGTCCCCGTGCTGAACGACTGGTCGCACCGGTCGCACTTTACTTGCATGCGGCAGTCGGCATGCATCCTCTTGTGCCGGCAGAGGTTCGAGAACTGAGTGTACGCCTGTGAACAGAACAAGCAGCGACAGATGGTCCGTTATAGATTGAGTAAAAAATTATAACAAGGTAACAGCAGAAAAGCCGCACAAAAGACGGCGATTGTCGTCACGGCGGGAGACGTGTGAAAAGAAAAAAAAACAAGAGCGAGCGCGCGCGCGCGGAGATCGCAACCAGACTGCGGTGTCGCGTTGTTGTATAATTATTATTTTATTACGTCCTGTATATTAATCATTATTATATTATTTCGTTGTCGGGCGACCGAAGAGAAATCGGTGGCCGTCGACTGATACAATAAGGCATCCTTGTCGTACGCATCGCGCACGTATTAGCACCGATAACACACGCGCGCCTATCGGGCGGACCTCTCGTAGTCGCGGCAATATACGTGACCGGTACAACAGCCGTGCAGATTGCGACGGCATCTACGCGGGCTATCATTGAGGAAACGGACGGTATAACTGCGCGCACGTCGCCGTCGTCGTCGTCATCAGCGACACAACGGGAACCGATTGATTAAATAACTGTACGTACGCTTTACCTAATGCAGCGCGCGAACACAACAACGCGATAAGACGCGCACAATAATGCGGCTGCGACACAATAATAATATTATACACTTGTCGCGGTGTATTGTAGCGACGGATAGGGGACCGGACGGAATTTTAATAATGCATGTTGCACGTACTTTGAAACAGACTTCGCACTGGAACGGTTTCACGCTGGAGTGTATGTGTGTGTGCTGCTTGAGCCCACTGGACGTGGCGAATGTTTTGCCGCACTCGGAACAGGCGTGTGACCGGGCACCGGCGTGATTTGTCCGGATGTGCCTCTGCAAGTTGCTCGGGTCGCTGAACACTTTGGAACAGGTTTCGCAMGTGAACTTTCGGCTGTGGGCCAAAGCCAGGTGCCGGATCAGGCACGGCTTCCAGCTGTACGACTGCGGGCACAGCTCACATCCGTACTGGTTGGCCTTGTAGTGGTGACCAGATACCAGGTGATCATCGAGTCTGCGAATTAGGAAAAACGTTGGCTGTAGATCGCTATCGTTAAAAATATGGCGAATCCATTAACCGTAAGACACTCATAGTTATGTTGGAATAGAAAAATATTTTTATTACATAATTATATAAGTCGTTACAAAACGATACTTCTAGGAGAAGAAGCTATATTTTTCACAATCTCGATTATCTTTATTARCTTATCGTTTTAAAATGTTTTACTACTTTGAATGAYAACATATGCATTTTTAATAAGTGGAATAATATTAAAGTACCGAATTTGTTTGATTTTTAATTTTTATAAATTTTGATTYATAAAAATTGCATTTYGGATAAACTGATAAATTGATAATTAGGAAAATATTAATTTTAGATAAGCGAWGTGGCGAATCGAAATTTTGGGTTAAAAACACATTTACCACTCCACTGAGCTCATTAAAAGTTTGAATACTTATAATTCATCAAAACCTCAACTAATTTACATCTAAGTACCGTCTTCAAAAACATTCATYTTTAGAATAAGAAATTATAAATACGTGAAGTCATTAAAAACAATAATAATAATAAAATATGAAAAAAACATTTTTTAAGCTAATTAATGAGTGTCTTACATGAAATGGATCGGCTTGATATTATTAGGATATGCGCATAGGTACAACGATATATCACAGAGACGTCAAATACCAAGCTCTAAGACTTGACTTTCCRCGCGTCCTTTTGATGTCATTATGATATAATATTGTATGACGGTCGATTATTATTATTATTACAGCGGTGACACCGCTCGAATACGATCGTGTTGAAAAGCCGTTAAACGTGTTATACGATATACACACGCATTTCTTTTAYACCTCCCCCTCAAAAATCTGAACGAAAAGTTTGGAGGACGATCGGCGTTTGTATATACGAAAATCGATTTTTATATATATAATGTCTTATTGCCCTGCTATTATCGGTCACGTCTTCAGATGGTCGGTCGGCAGGGAGAGGTAGAGAAACGACGTCGTCGTCGCGACCAATGATTCTCGGATGAGAGCGAAAAAGAAGAGAGAAAAAAGGGCGTCTTGAAAAATGAAGTGCCGGACCGGCAGGCGGTCTCCGAACCGTGACCGCAGTTACACGTTTAAGCACTTAGGCTTTCACACCCTCCCCGTTGCTAAAGTTACTTGTTGTCTGCGTGGACTAGATATATCGTACATAATAATAATACATAATAATACTACACTGATATACCGAACTGCGGGGAATCGAGGGACGATATAGAAAGTCTAAAATATAATATATAATACATATAAAAACGTCGTGATGTGTACATTTATTTTATTATGAAATGAGATCCACTATATAGGCAAAATAGTAAGAGCGCCGCGACTATATGTCATAAATAATAATCATCATATGCATTTGACTCACTGTTCGATGTCGGGAAAACACTTCTCGCATAAGATGCACCGGTTTTGGTCGTCTTCGTCTGGCTCTTCGGCGTCAACGTCCACGTCTCCGTCGCCGTCGATCGATCCCAGTGAGTTCTGAGACGCGACGACTAAATTTAAAAAAAAAAAAACCACCAAAACGTACAATCAGTAAGATGTATAACAACGTTTTGTTTGCAAATCACTACGGTAGGGTCAGAGTGCAGGGATGACTTCGCACGACGGACAGTTTATATCTATTATATTAATATAATATTATATACGCGTAAGAGGAGCGTACCTACGCTCGGGGTGTCGCCGCGTGATTGAGGTGAAAAAAATAAATTATACCGACAGCGGCTTGGTAGACGGTATGGGTAGGTACTATTGTGTATCGTTTGCGTGTGTGTTTACATATTAATATACCCTCTGGTGTGCTATTGGCTATCTGCGGGACACTCCGCGCGCTCGCTTTATAATTCGAGGGATGAAAGCTACCTTCCGGAACGGAAACCAAACACAGAGGGCTCCGTGACGTGTATTATCGCTGTATACCGTTGTTTGCGCGTGTATGTGTGTGTGTGTACCTGATGGCATAATTAATTCACGGCTGTAAGTTTACGCAAACGTTAGCGGAGCTCGCGGGGTTAACGGGGTGAGTGGATAAGGGGGGTTCTCGAATTGCGCCATATCATTGGAACCGATGCGTCAGGTGCGATTGGGATTTTCAACTGACGTTTTTCCACACCTGTTATTATCATATATAATATTATTACATGTGAAAATTCAGTATACGCGTATAACCGAAAACGTGACCAATAGACCCAGGATCCGCWACCCGGTGATAAAATTATATACTGGCAAACGTACCGTACCCTACACTATACGATGTGATAAACCACAGTCACCGGTGGTCGAAGATCAAATTAATATTACCGTCATCTAAACGCCCTACAAATGACAGTTTAAAAATTCAAACGCGATAAATAAAAAAAAATAAAAATGTAACAATAAATTTTAAAAAACGGAGTGGTCCATCGTGCGGAGAATAAAAAAAAATCAAAATCAAAAAGCATATTGTTCGCAGAAACTATTAAGACTACTGAATGCGGCAGGACAACGATACAATATATATAATATAAACCAAATATAAGGGGACGCTTGACGCGTGTAATCGAATATCCGCCCACTAATACTCGGTTTTCGTTTGAGTTCACACGGCACGCAACACCCCTTCTTTTCGGGGACCCTCGCGCACACTTTTATGTCACGTTAAAAAAAACACACACACCCGCTAATCGTATTCTGCAAAGTCAAAAGCTCCACCAAAGGATATTGTATATATATATATATGTATATATATATATATATATATATTCGGTCACGTTATACGTATTATATAATCTTGCGTAATATTATAATAATATATACGATTATTACGAGCTTAATAGTATCGCGTCATACGTAGTGCACTGCTCAAACGCGAGTAAGTCACACCTGCATCCTGTGTTTCCGCCACACAGTTTGTAACGGATTGCACAGATGGGCTAATTGCATCGCAGTTAGAAATTTATATTATACATTAATGCAGTTCTTTATTGTGCGTACACGGACAGACTCCGATGATTTGCGTGAGAAACACGAACGACACACTGCGTTGGACCAAGCATACGAGTTATTCGCCTTGCCCCCCCCCCACCATCGGTCATCACAACAGATTCGCTGATGCAAGACAAACGCCAGACGCGAACATATTATATGGTATAATATGGTCCGGAATAACAACTATGCACGCACGATGGGTGACTGCGGGTGGTGGACTTCATATTATTATTATACATGGATGTACGAACGTCTATGACGGGCAGCGTTGCGAAACGGTCAAAAACAACGTCAAGAGAACGCCACACGGGCATTTGTTGGCTCCGTCTGACAAAAACGCATACAACATTGACAATTTTACGTTCACAATAATCCTACATTTTACTCTGTAGTTTTTAAAACTAGACCGAATTTACCTCTAAAAGCTAGAATATTATCTAGGGCACCTCGGAGGATTTTATTGATGTAATGATTTTTAAGTAAGTTAGGTATGCAATCGTTATAAATTTACGAAAAAAAAACCGTTTAAAAATCGTCATAACTTACTTACAAATAATAATATCAATAAAATCATCCGATATGCCCTATAGATAATTTTCTTGTCTCAAGTTTGATAACAGGTAACTTAAATCTAATTTCTGAAACGTTTTATTGTGAACTTAAAATTGTCCATGTTGTGCATTTGGAAGATGGATAAAACGAATGCGTCCTCTTAATTCAACGACGACATTGTGGCCGGGCGCTGAAGAAKTTTTTTATACCCGTATTTTCTGACCCTCTAATCGTCATTGTCGTGAAAGTGCAAACGTAAGCTACATATAGTTAGCCATCATACCTGCACGGTACGACTATATCGAATATAAAAAGTTTTATACTTAAGTGAAAAAGCAATACTCTAGCACGTCAAACAATAATAAAATAAATATCATATATGACATAAAACGTGTCCATGACGACGGGCAACGGTATAGGTACTCGGAACGGGAAAAATATAAAATATGAAAAATATAAGAATAATAACGAGTAATAGGGGTTAAGTCACACTGATTGTCCAGGGTGGAAGGGGTTCGATGTCGGCCAGGTGTCTGCGACTCGCACCAGGAAGTGGGAGTTTGAATCTCTTCCGGTCATGTGAAAACCGTTAAAAAACAAAAAAGGGGCGCCTGATCGATTCGCGGGATAATGAATTCGGGAGATTTCGCTGCACACTCAAGTTTGTACACGGCACTACATTGTTCATCCGGTCCGGTGTATTATACGACCGACGCATATATATATTATGCACGATGGTTATTGAATTGTTTCGGTCGAGAAAGCACGTATGTCGGCGGCAGTCCTATGTATGACTTATATATTATAGCTCCTTAAACCTTATATAGATTTTAGTATGTAGTATATGAACTATGAGCATCAAGGGGTTTGTTTTTGTTTTATTCCATACCCGAGACTTTCTAGGGTAGAGAGGTACCTATTACCTATATCATATTATATAGTAGATGCATTATACATAATATACAGTAGCAGTGATTAGACGGCGGTCGACCGTCGTTTGGCCGTGACCGACGATCGCGTTTTATTTTTACGGGACACGTGAGCCACCGACCCCTGCGATTCGATTTGATCCGAAAAATCTCGCGTGACCTATGGCAAGTCAAATCCAGCACMTAACATCTGCGCACACGCCGGCACGTACACATATTATAGGTACGAACCGGTTAGGGTAATCGCGTGACATCGTGGAGTCGGCTCGTGTCGACCGTAAAAAAACAGATTTTAATCAAACATTAATCGCTGTATATGAAACGAGGTTTGGAAAAAAATCCACCAACTGGCGACAAACAAAAAACAAACGGCTCATATCATAATAATAATAACAATAATGTAGAGACCTGCTGCCGCGCGGAGTGCAGTCGTAAGCGGGTACACTATAATCATTATTATGCTATATTATAAWAGTACTACTCTGAAGYTCGGCGACCGTTTTAAGCCAGCCGGGCGTTTATTATCTCGAAACGTCTCTCTCTCATCGTCTTTCGTATATTATATAATATAATATTTTATATATACTCTAAAACCACCCTCTTCGCGTTGCAGAGAGCCGAGAGACGATAGTGACCCCCACCACGACATAGAGCGAGCAGCATAAAGTGCTAATTTTTACGACCTCCGACGTCCCCCCCCGTCGTGCATTTGTGATAACGATACTACCNTGCCCCCCCGTCGTGCATTTGTGATAACGATACTACCGTGACTGACACGGCGGAGCCGAGAAATTGTTTTAATTAATATTTTGTATCAGATGTAGCTAACGGTCCTCCTCAGGACTCGCGCGCCCGCGAATAGTAATCGCTAATTAAATACACCCTYTTAGTTGTTTTTATTCGGCTTTACTCCGCTCCACTGTTGCAGTATTTATCTCGAGGAGCCCGCGGCGGGGCATGTGGCGTTTGGCCGTGATGTGTTTACGATTGTTTTTTGGACACGAGCACACAAATTTTTCGAGTTTTTTGTTAKAGATCGTAAGGCGTAAAACAAGATATTGTTTTTAAGAAAACGTGACTCACTRCGCACAGCAGACCATGGTAACAATAATATTACAATAATTGTTGCCAATGCAGTAAAACTGTGTTCGCGTCATGCGCCTACGCATCGATGAAACATAAATGAATAATACTATATCGCCGTCAGACCGCAATAATAATTTTATTAAAATTATTGTGAAACGCAACACTATATTTTTGTTATTATGTTCTGAACAAAAAAAAAATCATTTCTAACGTTCGATATACGTTTTTACAAGATATWATTTTTAATTATGTAGGTTTAAAATACAAGGAGTAGAAATAAATGGAAAACGCTCACTGTTCGGTGTAATTCGAGCTCTTGTTGTCGCATAAATAGCGTACCAAGAATGATCTCAATTGGTACACAATACTCCGAACCATATATAATATTTAATATACATATAAGCCTATACGTGGCTTTGGATTTTATTGTGGTTTCGCACCGTCAAGTATGAACGTGTCCGAACAGCTGTTCGTCATAAACTCGTAAATTATAACGATAGTATTATAGCCGAACACACTGCAATATAATATTAGATACCTACATTTGATTGAAAAGTATAAAAAATTAAAACACGTTAATATTATTTACGCGAACCAATTGATMGCAGAGAACAGAGTTAGATCTGAATGGTTGAATATTGAATTTGGATTATCAACAGATTACTCACTAGAATCTAAAACCAAAGATTATAGTCAAACAAGCTATCTCGAGTCAATAAAAGTTCAAATTTATTTTACTCTTCGTGTTTAGATACTATTAAGAGCAAAAAAATCATAAAGGTTTCATGTTCATTACTCATTAATCATCATAGTGTTATATCAAATCGTATTTTGATAAACTTTGAAATTTTTTGACAATAAAAATTCTTCGATCACCAATAAAATAATTGTATTTAGGTATGAACTTGATCACTTAAATCATTGTCATTGGAATTAGTCTTATGAGACTATACGTTACGACTTAAAAAAAAAATTGAATACTAATTTGACGTGATACATTTGTTTAATSATTCGASAATTGACACCGGCTACAGAAAGTGCAMCRTTCAGATGTTACTTCTTATATGAATCTTAATTGAGAAGTAAAATAAACGATTAATGACAGGTCTCGTAAATAGAATATAATTTAAATATAGCKCAATGTCCCGGTCAGATATCATTGCGTYGACCGTACAAATACGAATGATAATAATATTTGATATTTGTTTTTCAGGAAATTTAAATTTGGATTTCGTAATGCGACGTATATACCTCAAATCAGTCTTATTTGCTCRGAATATTACAAAATATAACATAATATATACAATAGAGCGTAGTATACTATGCGAGTGTGTGTGAGTGTGTACCACGTTACACGGATTGGGTTTTGTGGTACGGGGCGAAAAAAAATCCCATTTAATCAATTCAGAGCTATTAGGTCTTTATTACTCGTACAGGCGGAAGACAAATTATCTACCCTAATTTTCTTTTATGCTCGTTCCCCGGTTGTTTTCCGTGCCCCTCATCGCCACCGCCACCGCCACCGCCGCCGTCGACATCTCTATTATTATTATGTCGGACGCGATTAAAGCTATATACATGTGTGTATGTGCATATTATAAACACACAGATAATCTAGCGACGTTTGTCGCGCGCGCGAGAGACCGTCGGTTTCACGGTGGGTTCCGCGCGTATATTATATTATTGTTCTCCGTTGTGTGTGCGGACGGGGTGCAAAAAAAAAATAATAATACACAAATATATATATACCCACACAAACAGGAATAAAGAGAGAACGAAGGTGAGTTATGATATAAACCGCCCAGAAATATGATTCATATAATAATGAATAGAAACGACCCTAATACGCGGCGGTGGCGTTCGGCGGAGGGGTCCCGCGATCCGTACATACGTGTGCGTGTAATAAAGCGGCGACGGACGCGAAATGACAAATATCATACAATACAACGGACATGCGTACAGATCATTAACGGTGCCCCCACCACCGAATCTATCCACATCGCGAGGGCGAGGCGGGGGACGAGGGGCTGTTGTAAGTCCATGCGCACACATACACTGCACCATACCCCTTTTTACTGTGTATATAATATATGTATCGGCAACAAATACATCACGACGATTGTGTCACGTGCATATGTGTGTGTTTGAACAGCTCTATTATCAGTCGTCGGCGGGGACTTTAGACATGTTGAGAGAGAGAGATCAACACCCCTGCCCGTTGTTTTCGGCGAGGAGGTGTGCGCGCAAATTCCGATTTTTTTCGCTTTGCCCCCGTTATAATAAAGTTGTTTTTATACATTATGTATATAATATTATTGCGGTGATCTCCCCGCCAGCCGACCGTAAACGACGGCGATAAAAAAAAAAAAAAAAAAAAATGATCATAAAACGAAATCATTGTGTCGGGTGCGAAAAATGTGACCGTGACGAGACGTCGCGCGTACGGTGGTATATATATAATATCATATATTGTATACAATTAATTGTGAATTAATTCTCCGGCGACGGCCATTGTCGGGATTTGCTGGCCGCCGTGCATATAAATAATAACATAGTATATAGATAGACAATACACAGAATAACGAGCTTAACGTCGAGATTAAAAGACGTGCGTGCGAWAGGGTACGAGCTTACGATGGGGTTTTGGTGGTGTCGACCGATTTTAAATAGATCTGCGACCGTATTATATTATAATATACGAACTCGATTCTGATCACATTGCAGATATACTCGCTCATTGTCATSAAATATTAATATTATACTATTATTAGTGACGTTTTAATTGAGGTGWTAGTGGAAACGTCTGCAACAATGGAGTGTGACGTGCGGGAAAAAAGTATTGAGAGAATATWATTATACCGTACTACATTATATAATATGCATAGCTTGAAACGAAAATATTAATTTAACCGATGTTCGATGAAAAATTTGAAACATGAATTGAAAATGAGATTGGGTTCGAGTTAAAAAAAAGTTAATAGTAAATTATCTCAATCGATTAAAAATTAAAATAGATTTCAAGCTTAAAATAATTATCTGATATAGGTACGGAWTATATGTATCATTCACTGCACTCACCCGAATCTCTTTCACTCCGATCCTCAGCGGACGTGGTCATTAATTCTCCAAATGCTGCATCTAAATTCAACGGCTCTCTCTTACCCAACAGCAGTTCTTCTGAAGCTCTGACTGTTTGTGTCAATTCGTAAAATATCTATTAAACAAACAAAAAARGTGTTATAAACAAAACGTCACGCGAAAAATTTAAACATTATCGCATAGATGAGTATAATATTATCATCGCCAACGATAGTTTTTACCTGTCCGGCCAACAAGAACGCTCGGACGTTTTGTCTACTACAGTCGTTCGTGGACCGAATGAATTTTAGCCAATTGCAGATTTCAATAGTGCCGTCCAAATATCCAGAATACCCAGCGATGCGAACCTGTGAACAAAAAAATAATCGTAAACCGTATTAWTATATGCGGTACAACTTTCGCATAGCGTCAGATGAGCGGGAAAATGTCAGACGTAGCGGGTCGTTGGCCTATGAGGCGTCTCGCTTGCTTTTCAACTCCAACCACAGCCGGATAGAGATCGTAATTAATTACACGAGCTTTAGGACAACTTGGCCATTAAATGTGTATACGAAATCGGCGGTCGTTAGGTCTTCGCGCGCTCCCTGTCTATCCTCTACTCTTATTCACGTCTAGACATAAATCACCATCAGCGGGTCGGGGTCTGAAAAGAATCGTATATAAAGGAGAAACCACTAGCRACGTTTCGCAATGCACCCTTCGCCCAAGAAAAAGATGAACCCTTTGCGGGTGTTAATTGATGACTRCGGCGAAAAAGATCCCCGGATATACGGTTTAAATATATATATATATATATATATATAAGTGTGTGTGAGTGTGAATGTGAGTGTGTGTGTGTATTTGTGTGACCCAGACGGGGGGGTCCTTATTAATTAAACGTGACACGTTTGGAGGACCTTTTTTCGACGTACACTTTGCAATTAGCATCACGAGCCGAGACGATAAAAGTCGAAACTCGAATTATTATTATTGTTCGCGAACGGCGGGGGAACGTTCAATTTGTATTATAGTTTGGAAACTAAGGCGCTCGAAGCGGCAACCACTAAACACGGATTAACGACTAGAGGTCGCARCCCAATACATTCGGGCGCTGTATTTGTTATTATTTCTTTTTGTTATATTATTTTTATTCGTACGCACACATTGCTTTATATTTTTACTATTTTTCCGCAATACACGTCTTGTTACTCAACGACTGCACATTTCAAAGACGAATCCCATATCTCACATCTCGATTTCAACGCATAAAATTATGGTCTAGATTTATGGCGTGGTTTCAAAATTAAATGCGTTTCAGACATAATATACAGTTATAGCCTATCAAATTTTGAWCGATGAACACAATAGAATCGTCAAGAATCGCTAACTGTTTGTTCTTTTAATCATAATCGTTGTGGTTGGTTAAGTACTGTAATTCGATCGTTAACAAAACGCGTTATTATGATTTTTACTTTTTAGTTTAATTATATATATTTTTATTTGATTTCGTTATGCTCTACGYGGTGTAAAAATAAAAATAAACACCCTTTCCTCCAACGACAACTAGATTTTATACTCAATATTTGAGAGATGATTAATAATGACTTATAAATAGGTGTTTTCCGTTTTTAATGGGCGTTATTTTGAAAATCAAATCATGTCCTGGGTATAATGAATATTCAGCTCCATTATAATATATTAATATTATTATTATTTACTATAATCCGTTCAGTGTTTAAACGTCAATTATGTACGCGTATTAAACTAAGTACGGTTTACGAGTGGCCACTTGGGCGCCCGCGATATTACATGAAATAATAATAATAATAATAAAAATAATAATATAATAACCGTACCCACTACCCACTGATAACGCTTTCTAATCCAATAAAATTCGTACGGCTTTTGCATAATAAATAATTTTATACATAACATGTTATATAATGCATATTATAATATGTGTATAGTAATATATTGTATTTGTATCGCACGCATACACGCACAGATGGGGCGGGGTGAGTTCTGTAGCGTTTCAAGTGATCAGTCAAAACGGCGGTGCGTTAAAAATTCGCGATAATATTTGCATATCGTTCGCGTTTTTTTTGCATCTACATTTTCGCACGCAATTAATACTTCATTCACTCGCGGACTTGATCGATGCGAGCCCGGACTTACGGGTGTACGGGAGGTGTAAAAATAAAATATTTGGTGAAAAAAAAATTAATAAAAAAACGTTGACTCGTACAGCTAAATATTATAATATACATATACACGTCGTGCAAGTAGACCACTATACGATATTATTATTATTAACACTACTATGTATTATTATTATAATTGTACATATCGGGGCGAAAACATAATGCGCGTCCCATTGACACCTCGCCGCCTTCTTCATCGTAGTCGTTTCTCGCCCGAATGTCAAACACAATAGCAAACATCTATATTATTGTGTTATATTCAGTGGCCGCCCGGTGGCAGATGTCCAACGCGATCCATACGCATACACACATGAATCTCGTTTTATAATAATACGGTAATAAATAATAACAATAATATACATAATACTATGTACGSGAGATCGGAATATTTTTCGCTTGAATAATATTAATATTATTTTAATTATCTAATACAATGTATATTATCGTCTTCAATAAGACATTCACGTACCATAACAATGACGTCGTTAGCGCTCCTGCGAGCCCAACAGACGTTGTCCCCATGATATATCATACTAATAATTAAGAACTCTTTACACTTTATTGGGTCATCCATAATATATTATGTCATATTAAATCCTCAGTGTATTAATCGGCTTAATACTACTTGGAATATCTTTTGATCATACCTGCATGTTACATGATGTTAAAGTAAAGTTGAAAAATATTTAACTTCTCGACGTCTGGTTTCAAGGGTCAAATATATATTAATATTATACATTATACTGATCAAATGTTTAAAATATTAAAAATAACACTACCTAGATAACTCGAGAATCTAGTTTTAAATCTATATACCAAGAYAGGTAATAATGTGATCCAATGAACACAATAAATTGTGGACAACCGCAGTATCTTTTATAGGTATACAGTTTATACCTCTATTTATATGCTGCACTTTTTACCCTGTAATATCGAGTAACCCCTCGTAATACGTAAAATATCGTCACTACAAGGCCTGAAACCACCGAGTTTCATAAAATCATATATATATATATATGTATATATATATATATATTGGTAACAGTAAAACGTCAGACGAAAGAAATATATCGTCGCGCCGCCCGACGAATCTACAGACTTTTGCAAGAGCAAAAATGCCCACCACTCGTATAGTAGGTACGTATAAAGGCATCACTCGAAGTCTCGAACCCATAATTATACTGACGCTTATTATATACCTACACTACATCTACACTTTAAATATATATGTATAAATATTACTTTTTTTTTTAAATATGCGCACSGGAATTTTGGCGAAAGAGAAGCCAACGGGGCTGGCCTTAGGTTTATAAACATAATAATGYTGCCTCGGCGGACGATCCTCCCGCGGCTGTTTGGGTGGTATCCGATGAATTTTTAAACGACCTCTGTCCGCGAGGTTTTATATAATTTAATATTAAATCTCCTTTCCGGCGCTTGCGCCTCACCGGCCGGGCCTTCTTCTACGCTCCGCCAGTACCATCCCCTGTTCTACGGGATTCGGTCGATCCCAACGCAGCCGACGGCATTGCTGCAACGTTATTGCTGTTTTATCAAAAACCAACTTGTGAATAATTGCGCTGTGTACATATATATTATATATCACATCGCGTTATACACTGTAAGTATATAATGTAGTGATGAAACGCACGCAATAACGACGGCCTTTTTGTGTTTGCACTGGCGCACCGCGAATATTATACTCTTGTAGCTCAACAACCAACCTTTATTTCATACTTAACTAGTATTTCTTCCTCGGGGGCGCACGTGCGGCTCGTTTTTCACTCATCGATGATATATTATGTATGTGTATATAGAACTGTAGTAGTGCCTAGCTACACGAGTAGTTATCCTGCACCTCCGCCGACGGCGACGTCTGGCGCCCTTTCTATATATACATATATMCTAAACCGTCGACTGCAAAAGACACCGGCGCRCAGATTTTGCATAATATATAGTCCATCGAATTTTAATCTTATTTTAGGTTAACTCTTTTACACAGTGACCAGACAATTTTATAAGAAATTCGAGTTATTGTTGTCATAATTATTATTATAATTATTATTTTTGACTGTACAATCTTTCTATTTACATAAGCGATTCTTAAACTCTTAAATCATTATTTGTTCTATATAAGAGGGAATTAAAGAATGCAAGACATACTTTTTCATAAATTTATATAATTTTACTACCATCGAATACATATACATTTCATAATAAGAAACTGATAGGGGTCGTAATATATATTCCCAATTCAAGAACCTATATATCATTCGAAAAAATATGTAAGCAATCAAAGTTACTTTCTATGTTTAATATTTATGAAGGATAATCATCTATAGCATAGTATTAAATTTGTATATGCATCAAGGTAGAGTATCGAAATAATTTTGTTTTACTAATTATATTATAATAGTAATTGTTGTTGGATTGCAGTTGAAAGAAATTTTCCAAGTGAATATATTTAAATTTAAYTTAGCAAGCTTAAAAATTTGTATACAAAAATTAACTCGTAGGTGTTTAAGAAAGTAAAAACTATCAGAAAGAGATAGAATCGTGAGGATCCCGTCATAAATATACGCAACCAATGTGTTTACTCGGATGAACCGATCGCGATAATAATAAGAAGGACTACTGTGTAACAAAAGTGTAGAATAAGGGATAACAATCGTATATATAGTTTACATGTACGCATTAATATTATTATCAATTATCATTATTGAAAGCGAACGGGTTTTGTTAACAACGGTGTTCGACATAGATATATCGTCGTACATTCTTATCGGAATATAACATTGTGCAATAATTAATAATATTATTATTGTTATTAAAACAAAAACAAAAAAAAATGCTGACGAGCACTAACCAATACTTGTTTTTTTGATATCTTATTAACAAATACACGTGGTATAGTAATATATTACACAATATACAAATTATACAGTTATAGTGACTTGACGGTTACGATAAGATGATAAATCGCAATTTATTTCAAACACAAGCGAAAAATTGAGAACGTTATTGATTTTTTTTCGTTTAAAGGACAATACTGTACATGAACACGTTTTATTTCATTCACTGCTGCTACTGTATATAATTACCAAACTATTGTCACCGCATTGTAGTCGCTCGAGTAACGTACACACGCACGTAGGTCACGGTCAATA